TGAGAGATATCATACCAAGTTTTGGTTTACTTAGTGTTATTCAGTATGACAACGGTTTTGTAGCTAACATTGTGAAACGTGTTGGTGGATAAGCTGTGTATTGTTCTTAAATATGGCATCTTATACCATCCTAAGTCTCACGGTCGAGTCGAACAAATGAGTCAATTACTAAAAGAATCCTTTCCAAAATCTGTGCACAAACTAAATTAAATTGGGTAATGGTCTTACCGATTGCTTCATTGGGTATGAGGGATACTAAATTGACACAAGACGACTGTTGTGCAGACGTGACTGTGGGGACATAGGTTTAGTTGACTTTGACGAGTTAACATGTGAAATTGAACAAGCCAGGCCTATCTTTGAAAAGGGGAAAGTATTCTGAACAAGAATGTTGAAGCTTAAGTTAATAAAACACTGAATTTGAATGGTAAACAATGTGAACAGCTTGAAACTGGTTTTAATATATTACTAAAATAGGCTCATTAGTTTTGATTTAATTGGTACGGTTATTTTAAGGTTTTAAAATTCTCTTAACAATAGGAAAGTCTCATAGCCCACCTAAATGTGGTTTCTCAGAAAATTTGGAGACTGAATCTGTAGTCGAGTATACTTATTGATGTTATTGGGATGATTTTTATAAATTAGCGAGGGGCTATAGGCTCATTTCAGTACTTCTAACAGGTGTTTGCTTGGTCTGGTAAGTGCGCACACCAGAAATAGTCTTCTGGGGCTCAAAATCCTCCCTAGAGAATGGCTTACCCTTTGACGGGTGACAGTAGAGCGCCAGACTGAGTGAAGGTTGCCTGTATGAAGTTCATCAATATAGAAACTGTACTCAATACAGTAGGACTAAAATTGGATTCAATATAGGTTGTGTAAGGCAGTTCTGTTAAATTGTTCAGGTAGAATACCTCGCTTAAAGAACTGACGAGTTCATTAACGCATGCGAGATGCTAAAATTAGATATACTAGGATTTGTTTTTTTTTTTTTTCAGATGCTGACCATGCCGAGCCATGACTTTTTTCCTCTTTGGAAGGAGTAACGATTGGTTGAAGTTCAAAGTGCCACGCTAAGATAGCTATCCGTTCATTGGTCAGAATACGTTTGGGGTTTCTGTTTGGAAACGCAGTGAAACGTTTGGGCACAGACTGATTTACAAGAAAGAAAAACTTTTGTCACAGTGCTGGTGGAATATTAGTGACAAAACTCTGCACGTTGGTTTTTTGTACAAAACCTATTAAAAGAAAGAAAAACTTTGGTACAAAACGAGTTTCAAAAGAAAAAAAGGAATTACAAGAAAGAAAAACTTTTGTACAAAACGAGTTTCAAAAGAAAAAAAACAATTACAAGAAAAAAACTTATGTCGCTGTTTTACCTTCATAGACCTTACTCATGCATATCTAGGAAGGTTGACGGAGGGATGTCGGTAGGAGTCCTAAGTCACTGTTCAGATATGACTGATGTAACAACCACTGCCACTTGGGGTAATTTAACAGGGGTAATACCAGGTGACACCATGGATAAACTCACTCAAGCAAGAGAAGACGTTTGGTGGCTCTGTGGAGGTGAACACTTATGGCCAACATTACCAACTGATTGGACGGGTACGTGCGCTCTAACACAATTAGCTATGCCACTTACAGTGATCTCAGAATCTGAGGCTAGAGACCAAAAAACTTTAAATAGACACAGACGGGGCATTGGTGGTTCCTTCGATGATAAAATCTATTTAGATGCAATTGGGGTGCCGAGAGGTATTCCAGACGAATTTAAAGCTAGGAAATCAAATAGGCGCTGGTTTTGAGTCTTCACTGTTCTGGTGGGTGACAATTAATTAGAATGTAGACTGGATTAAATATGTGTTTTACAATCAACAGAGATTAAGTAATTACACTAGAGATGCAATAAAGGGACTAGCAGAGCAAACAGCGGCTACTAGTCTAATGGCCTGGCAAAATAGATTGGCATTAGATATGCTCCTAGCGGAGAAGGGTGGGGTATGTGTGATGTTTGGAGACACTTGTTGTACTTTTATACCCAACAATACAGCTCCTGATGATTCGGTGACCAAGGCATTGCAAGGACTGACAGCTCTGGCTGAGGAGATGAAGGACAATTCGGGCGTTGACACTTCAGCGTTGGGGTGGATGGACGTGTTTGGGAAGTGGAAATTGATGATTTCCTCAGTTCTGATCTCTCTGATTACGGCGACATCACTGTTGCCGGTGTGTGGATGCTGTTGCATTCCATGCATACGAGGCCTTTCCATTAAGCTGATTGAGACGGGAATGACCAGAGTAATGGTTGCCAAAGCTGTGCCTTGGGAGGAGGGGAGTTCACTGTTGGATGATCTCGCTGACATGGAGGAGAGTAATTTCGAAAGTATTTCGGAGCGACGAATTGGATTATACACCTTTGGAATAATTTTGATCTTTCCCTGTTGGAGTATGCTGATTTTTGCCTTGCACACACTGTTTTTTACATTCTACCTCTGATACTCTGACTTTCATACTATCTTCATGCTCTATCTTTTACACACTACAAGTCTCATCCTATTTTCTGGACAACTATTTCTGAAGGATTACGGATTACGTATTGTTTGATTACTGGGACACTCAGGGACACTTTATTCAGGAAGAAGAATGTTGTTGATGTATTATGGACATTGGTTGAACTTGACAATCTAGTTGAATATTTCTGTTGTTCATATCTGTACTGAATCTGGATATTGTTTTCCATCATGCAAGATTTTTGTCCTTATGAAAGGTTTTCTCCTGCATGTGTGGTTTTTTAATGATGATATTTCTATTTTCTTACTGTATTGTTTAGTATAGTCATGTCTTTGATCTTTTACTCTAATCAAGTCAAGTATGGTTGGAGATGTTTGGTCAAAGGACATGGGTCAGGTGAGGGAGAACCCATACCGTTAAGGGTAGATGTGTCTGGGAATTGATCTGGTTCTCTAATACATCTGCTGAGGTATGATTTCTCATTCATGTGATCTAGATAGCTTCGCTTTATGATTATTACACCACAGTATTATTTGATGTGCATTAATGCTTTGAGATGTGAAGTTTAGAAAACTTCAAGAGGGGGATATGTGGTAGAATTTCAGGTTGTTTATATTTCTTAATCTCTTTTATATTATTATTATGTTTACCTCATTAGTATTCTATAGTATTGATTGTTTACATTTTGTTTACATTTTTATCTCTTATTCTTAAGTTTACATTTAGTAGTATCTGTATTTTAGTCATCCGACCATTAGGGGCGGTAATGAGTAGTTCGTGCTTGTAAACAGGAAGTATTTCACCTGGGTTGGGAGGCGCTTCTGAAACAAGCTAGGAGGAGCTTCCTAGAGGTTTTAAAAGAAGAGGCATTCTGCTCAAACTTCCTCTTTCTGACTCAACTCGCGCGAGTAGGACTTAGGACAGGGCAAAGAGTTTATTGTTGTGTTAAATTCTTTTAATAAACCATCTGAAAAGGTAATCCGTTCGACTCGTGTATTTCACTCATTTTCTCTACCATAGTCCATCTTTTACTACTATCTTTATCAGTATTTATCGGCGAGGGTGAAAAAAAACACCGCCCCGGGCGAGGCTTGAACTCGCCACCTCGGCATCTAACCCCGTCGTTGTACTCGCATCGCGTACACGCCCCGAGTCGCGATTTTTTCACAGCCCTCATAGTTTTGCAAAAAGGAGGAGGCCAGAATACAACAACGTGCGCGTGTTTCACTGTTATCGATTTATTATTATTATCGTTATTAGTAATTATCTGGTGGGGCAAAAAATAAACACCGCCCCGGGCGAGCCTCGAACTCGCCACCTTGGCATGTAACCCCGTCGTTGTCCTCGCATCGCGTACACACCCCGAGTCGAGCGGGTCAGATTGACCCGCGATCTCTTTTCACAGCCCTCAGAGTTTTGCAGAAAGGAGGAGGCCGGAATAAAACAACGTGCGCGTGTTTCACTGTTGTCCATATATTATTACTATCTTTATTAGTATTTATCGGCGAGGGCAAAAACAACACCGCCCCGGGCGAGGCTCGAACTCGACACCTCGGCATCTACCCCCGCAGTTGTCCTCGCATCGCGAACACACCCCGAGTCGAGCGGGTCAGAATGTCCCTTGATCTCTTTCCACAGCCCTCAGAGTTTTGCCAGAAAAGAGGAGCCGGAAATACAAAGACCCGCGCGCGTTTCACTGTCATCCATCTATTATTACTATTTTTTTAGTATTCATCGACGAGGGCGAAAAAAACACTGCGGGGATGCCGCGGCGTCCGCAACGGCCGCGGCGGCCTCAGCGCGTCGCGGGCCGCGGCCGTTGTAGCCGCCCGCGTCGCTGCCCTCGTCCAGGGCCTCTTCCCCTTCGTTTCTGAGACCCGAGGACAGCGGGCAGTGCAGAGAGAGTGTATTTTTGAGACCAGAGGACAGCGGCGGGGCAAAAGAGCGTGTGTTTCTGAGACCCGAGGACAGCGGGCGGGGCAAGAGAGCTTGTGTTTCCCGGCACCCGAGGACAGCGGGGAGGAGAACGTGTTTCTGAGACCCGAGGACAGCGGAGAGGGCAGAGAGAGTGTGTTTCTGAGACTCGAGGACAGCGGGCAGGGCAAGAGAGCTTGTGTTTCCCGGGACCCGAGGACAGCGGGGAGGAGAACGTGTTTCTGAGACCCGAGGATGGGGAAAAGCCAGGGACAGCGTGTTTCTGAGACCCGAGGACAGAGGGGAGGTCAAGAGAGTATCTGGGAACTACACACACACGCCGCAAGTCTCCAGCCCTGTCCGCGACCATCAGGGTCCCAGTGACCCTAGGCTGCGTTAGGGTTACAAAGGTTGACCCGAGGACGGCGGGAGTGAGGGGGAATCCTACGCTCGGGTCGCCGGGACCCGAGGTTAGTGTGCGGGTTAAACTGCCCATTGATTCAAATATGACTTTGTTTTACTTTCCATGTATCAAAACAATCCAATTTATCTCAGTAAGATAGTACATCGTCCATTGCATTGGCCGGGAATCGAAACCAGGACTCCCGCATGGCAGGCGAGAATTCTACCACTGAACCACCAATGCACAAGCTGGCAAGATACGGTGCGTTTACGGAAAATCCTCGGCAGAATCTGTCAAAAATGAAAAGACACATACTAGAGTGAAGCAGGCATTCTGAAGTAAGGCTTGCAGAAGGAAGCAACCTCCCCGTCGGGGAATTGAACCCCGGTCTCCCACGTGACAGGCAGGGATACTCACCACTATACTAACGAGGATCAATTGGTAGTTCAGAGTCAGACAGGACTGACGAAATCTTAAACAAGACATGGATGAAAAGATTTGGCTTGAGCTGGAATCGTTTGTGACGCAACTCTGTAAAAGTAGGACTTCTCTGGCCACATTTGTGTTGTTTTTATCTCTGAAACATGCCCTAGTGAAGTTGTTTCTTCAGTTCAGCTAACCCAAATTCTCCTCACTGAAAATGTTTGTAGGTAATGAACGCTTTATCCAGCAAACTATTTTCCAGAGTTTCTGTAAAGCTGACACTGCAGGGAACACAAAAGTGTCATTGGAATTGCCCCGAAGTAAATAATGACATTGAATTGTTTGAGCTACAATGGATTATTGCAAACTTCAGTAAAGGTGGGCCTTATTCGGCCACAACATAATTTCTCTAGAAGGCTCACAAAGGCACTGCCATAGTTTTGTATCAAGTACTTCTGAACTGAGACAGAGCCATTTGAGCTGCCATTGATCTTGCCAGGTCACTTTATTCATGTCATACCCACACACATTGAACTGTCATTGCTTTTGAAGTGGAATGCTCTGGAAGCACACTCGACTAGTTTGAACCACCAATTCACGAGCTGGCAAGAAAAGATGCAGATGCTGTCAAAAATGAAAAATGCTGCCAAAATGCTGTAAAAAATGAAAAGACACATACTAGAGTGAAGCAGGCATTCTGAAGTAAGGCTTGCAAAAGGCAGCAACCTCCCCATCGGGAAATGACCCCGGTCTCCAGCGTGACAGGCGGGGATACGCACCACTATACTTCAAGGAACTGTTGAAGCACAGAGTCAGACAGGACCGAGGAAATCTTAAACAAGACATGGATGAAAAGATTTGGCTTGAGCTGGAATCGTATGTGACGCACCTCTGTAAAGGTACGAATTCTCTGGCCACATTTGTGTTGTTTTTATCTCTGAAACATGCTCACAATCCCGAGTGAAGTTGTTTCTTCAGGTCAGCTAACCCAAATTCTCCTCACAGAAAATGTTTGTAGGTAATGAACGCTTTAACCCCCCCCCGTTGTCCTCGCATCGCGTACACACCCCGACTCTTTTCACAGCCCTCAGAGTTTTGCAAAAAGGAGGAGGCCAAAATACAACAACATGCACGTGTTTCACTGTTATCGATTTATTTATTTTATCATTATTAGTAATTATCTGGGAGGGCAAAAAAGAACACCGCCCCGGGCGAGGCTCGAACTCGCCACCTCGGCATCTAACCCCGCCGTTGTAATCGCATCGCGTACACAGCCCGAGTCGAGCGGGTCAGAGTGACCCGCGATCTCTTTTCCCTGCCCCAGGAGTTTTGCCAGAAAAGAGTAGCCCGAAATACAACGACTTGCGTGCGTTTCACTGTAATCGATTTATTATTATTGTTTTTAGTATTTATTTCATTATAAATTCCGTGTCCGGTTGTGGGCATAGGGTGTTTCGGGACATATGCTACATTTCAAGCAATGGCAACATAAGCGTTCCAAACACACACACACACACACTCACACACACACACACACACCCAACAACAACAATGCACCGATCATCTGTCAAATCGTCCCGCCTCGGACGAAGCCCCAGCTGGCTTTGCAGATGTACATGTTAAACCGGCTGCACGGGGTGGGTCTTGTTGTCCTTCTTGGACAAATCCCTGTCCTTAAAAGAGTCTAAGTCATTTTGGGAAAACCCACTGTTGATTGAAAGGGGGCATGGATTTTGCTGGTCGTTTTCTTGCGGTAACATTGAACCGTAGTTAATTCAATGAAAATCTACTCAACAATAAAATCAACTTGTAGAATGTATTGGTGAGCAAGGGACATTTTAACAATAGATGCCTTGTCCATTTTTGAACATCTGACAAAATCTGTGTTCGCGCTAACTGTGAATGAAAGTCCACATATTTCTTGGTCCAGGCTATCTGCTGTGAAGTTCAGCCTCTGGAGCCAGGTGCATCCAATGGCCATTGGTTAAAATGCCTCAAGATTCAAAACGAGTATAGAACTATTTGGTAAGGACGCTGTTAAATGATTGTTCGGCATAGTCATCGCCTTTGAATGACATGAATAGTGTTTGCATTTTCATTGAATTGACATTTAAAAAATGAGGTGTTCCAAACCTGTTCAATGTTCCCAGAACCTGTTCAATGTGCTCAGAAACTTTTCAATGTAATGCTGAGGGACACAAAAACATTTGACGTTAAGTCATTCTGAGCGGGAATGTTAATGCATCTGTGTTGATTTGATTTCGGTTACGGAGGGACGGACCTATCCAGCCATAAACGGAAACTACAATGTGTAGATGATGTTGACCGTTTTTGATATAATGAATTGTTTATTTTACATGTAAAGAGATTTTTAATTATCTGTGCATCTGAGTTGATTTGTTCAATGTGCTCAGAACCTGTTCAATGTGCTCAGAAACTTTTCAATGTAATGCTTAGGGACACAAAAACATTTGACGTTAAGTCATTCTGAGCGGGAATGTCAATGCATCTGTGTTGATTTGAACGAAGCTATTAGATGGAAAAACACTGATGGCCAGTACGGGCATCGAACCCGCGACCTTCGCATTATTAGCACGACGCTCTGACCAACTGAGCTAACCGGCCAGACCTGATGAAAGAATTCTGAAATGACTGGCCGTAGTGACAGTTAGCACTTGTTTGAGATAAGTAAAAGAGTTTCTAAGATGTATCAGCTTCTGCTTGCCAAGGAATAAAACCAACCAGTCCTGGACTTTGCGAACAGTTAAAGGTCCTACCGAGATTTGAACTCGGATCGCAGGATTCAAAGTCCTGAGTGCTAACCATTACACCATAGAACCTGTTTCTTAGGAGCTGTACATGATGACACAAGACTGGAGTCCAACATTTCAAGAATGCAACAAACAACAGCGAAGATGTACATATTAGTATGTTCTTCGTTCAGCTAATTCACCTTAAAAATGTGGTAAGCTAGTACAGTAATCATGATGCAACCATTGCGTTTTTTGAAAAACTGTCTATCCAACTGATCTAACTTTCCAAACTGGACAAATCCCTGTCCTTAAAAGAGTCTAAGTCATTTTGGGAAAACCCACTGTTGATTGAAAGGGGGCATGGATTTTGCTGGTCGTTTTCTTGCGGTAACATTGAACCGTAGTTAATTCAATGAAAATCTACTCAACAATAAAATCAACTTGTAGAATGTATTGGTGAGCAAGGGACATTTTAACAATAGATGCCTTGTCCATTTCTGAACATCTGACAAAATCTGTGTTCGCGCTAACTGTGAATGAAAGTCCACATATTTCTTGGTCCAGGCTTTCTGCTGTGAAGTTCAGCCTCTGGAGCCAGGTGCATCCAATGGCCATTGGTTAAAATGCCTCAAGATTCAAAACGAGTATAGAACTTTTTGTAAGGACGCTGTTAAATGATTGTTCGGCATAGTCATCGCCTTTGAATGACATGAATAGTGTTTGCATTTTCATTGAATTGACATTTAAAAAATGAGGTGTTCCAAACCTGTTCAATGTGCTCAGAACCTGTTCAATGTGCTCAGAAACTTTTCAATGTAATGCTGAGGGACACAAAAACATTTGACGTTAAGTCATTCTGAGCGGGAATGTTAATGCATCTGTGTTGATTTGATTTCACGGAATCCAGCCATAAACGGAAACTATAATGTGTAGATGATGTTGACCGTTTTTGATATAATGAATTGTTTATTTTACATGTAAAGAGATTTTTAATTATCTGTGCATCTATGTTGATTTGTTCAATGTGCTCAGAACCTGTTCAATGTGCTCAGAAACTTTTCAATGTAATGCTTGACAAAAATATTTGACGTTAAGTCATTCTGAGCAGGAATGTTAATGCATCTGTGTTGATTTGAACGAAGCTTAGATGGAAAAACACTGATGGCCAGTACTGGCATCGAACCCGCGACCTTCGCGTTATTAGCACGACGCTCTGACCAACTGAGCTAACCGGCCAGACCTGATGAAAGAATTCGAAATGACTGGCCGTAGTGACAGTTAGCACTTGTTTGAGATAAGTAAAAAGAGTTTCTAAGATGTATCAGCTTCTGCTTGCCAAGGAATAAAACCAACCAGTCCTGGACTTCGAATGCGAACAGTTAGAAGGTCCTACCGAGATTTGAACTCGGATCGCAGGATTCAAAGTCCTGATCGCATTACACCATAGGATTCAGAGTCCTGAGTGCTAACCATTACACCATAGAACCTGTTGGACTGTTCATGATGACAAAGACTGGAGTCCAACATTTCAAGAATGCAACAAACAACATGCGAAGATGTACAAAGCTAATTCACCTTAAAAATGTGGTAAGCCAGTACAGTAATCAAGATGCAACCTTTGCGTTTTTTGAAAAACTGTCTATCCAACTGATCTAACTTTCCAAACTGGACAAATCCCTGTCCTTAAAAGAGTCTAAGTCATTTTGGGAAAACCCACTGTTGATTGAAAGGGGGCATGGATTTTGCTGGTCGTTTTCTTGCGGTAACATTGAACCGTAGTTAATTCAATGAAAATCTACTCAACAATAAAATCAACTTGTAGAATGTATTGGTGAGCAAGGGACATTTTAACAATAGATGCCTTGTCCATTTTTGAACATCTGACAAAATCTGTGTTCGCGCTAACTGTGAATGAAAGTCCACATATTTCTTGGTCCAGGCTTTCTGCTGTGAAGTTCAGCCTCTGGAGCCAGGTGCATCCAATGGCCATTGGTTAAAATGCCTCAAGATTCAAAACGAGTATAGAACTTTTTGGTAAGGACGCTGTTAAATGATTGTTCGGCATAG